GAACTCGCTCACCTCATAGCAACAAGGAATCACATTCCAGTAAGCAGATGCCAGTACAGTACACTGAGCAGAACGATTAACATTACACAGACGAAACTGTTGGACAACCCTGCCGATCCGGTCTGCATGGCAGCTGGGAATTCACCTGATAAAATAAAATCCAATTGGTCACATATCGGTATACACATCATACTACCACGTGACTGCCATTCATGGTTCATTTAACGACGCTGTCAGTAGCTTAGACCCTACAGCGTTGAATGACAGCAAAGATAATGAACATTAATTTGAAAATAATACCGGAAGAAGAAGTCATGGCCTAGCTTACAATACAATCCCGATATTTGCCTGGAGGTACTGTGAAAAAACACGGAGAGTAAACAGTACGCCATACTGCGTCTGCATTCAATGCTGTCAATACGAAATCAAACAGGGGATTGAGCATTAGTACTTTATAAAACAATTTTGCATGCGTCATTTACCAATGAAATTAGCATGTCAAAATAAACCTGGAACCCAACCAATTTTGATAAAATTACTTTAGCGTACACGCAATTAAATACACTGACTGAAAGTATGAGATAATTAATGTCAAAAACTACACAAATTGCTTTCTCAATCATATCAATTACGTTGCTACAAAGTTGTACAAAAGTTTGCTTTGCTCACTTCGTATACCTCAGAAGCAATGGTTCTAAACAGCGTTACGACCGCGACCGCGGTTAACAAGTGAGTATATTCCAGTAGCCGGTAAGGATTTAGGTTTTCGGGATATTTCAGATACGAGATTCAATTTAGTTACTACCTATACTGAGATATTTCGAGATTTTTATTCAACCTATTTAGGAAAATATCCAGATAACATAACAAACTGCCTAACGAGGAACATGAATGACTACCCAACGAGACGGAAGATTGGGATTCGACTTCCGGCTGGAGTCTTCTCCGTACCACGACATATAGATCGGTTCTTGAGCCCTACCAGCTTCATATCCCTGGGTACCGGGGTTATTTATTATAGGGATAAAACAGCTGGGGAGTGAAAATAACAATTCAACCTCTACTAGTGCGAGGAGTTATACCTCCACTCGCCATGACTCTGCATGGTGTGATGTCTTGTTAGACACAAGAATAATTTTACCTGTGGATTGTCCCTGTCTCAGACTAGACCTCCATACACGTAAACTCTCTTGAGGACTCGGACTTTACGAGACCACGGATCTATGGGGAGACCTTGGTTATGACCAATAAATGAGGTCTCTAACACAGAACTTGGACCTGAAAGTTGATTACTCTTTGCTGGGAGCCAGTAGTTCTGGTAAACCTAGAACATTGTTCTTCACCGGAGATATAGGACTTTTAGTGGATTACGTGTACAAAGATGAAGAAATTCTCGTGGAATAAGGATCGGTTAGGCGTCAAACCCATTCACATTTATTCAACTTCAAAACGACGCTGTCAGTAGCTTAGACCCTACAGCGTTGAATGACAGCAAAGATAATGAACATTAATTTGAAAATAATACCGGAAGAAGAAGTCATGGCCTAGCTTACAATACAATCCCGATATTTGCCTGGAGGTACTGTGAAAAAACACGGAGAGTAAACAGTACGCCATACTGCGTCTGCATTCAATGCTGTCAATACGAAATCAAACAGGGGATTGAGCATTAGTACTTTATAAAACAATTTTGCATGCGTCATTTACCAATGAAATTAGCATGTCAAAATAAACCTGGAACCCAACCAATTTTGATAAAATTACTTTAGCGTACACGCAATTAAATACACTGACTGAAAGTATGAGATAATTAATGTCAAAAACTACACAAATTGCTTTCTCAATCATATCAATTACGTTGCTACAAAGTTGTACAAAAGTTTGCTTTGCTCACTTCGTATACCTCAGAAGCAATGGTTCTAAACAGCGTTACGACCGCGACCGCGGTTAACAAGTGAGTATATTCCAGTAGCCGGTAAGGATTTAGGTTTTCGGGATATTTCAGATACGAGATTCAATTTAGTTACTACCTATACTGAGATATTTCGAGATTTTTATTCAACCTATTTAGGAAAATATCCAGATAACATAACAAACTGCCTAACGAGGAACATGAATGACTACCCAACGAGACGGAAGATTGGGATTCGACTTCCGGCTGGAGTCTTCTCCGTACCACGACATATAGATCGGTTCTTGAGCCCTACCAGCTTCATATCCCTGGGTACCGGGGTTATTTATTATAGGGATAAAACAGCTGGGGAGTGAAAATAACAATTCAACCTCTACTAGTGCGAGGAGTTATACCTCCACTCGCCATGACTCTGCATGGTGTGATGTCTTGTTAGACACAAGAATAATTTTACCTGTGGATTGTCCCTGTCTCAGACTAGACCTCCATACACGTAAACTCTCTTGAGGACTCGGACTTTACGAGACCACGGATCTATGGGGAGACCTTGGTTATGACCAATAAATGAGGTCTCTAACACAGAACTTGGACCTGAAAGTTGATTACTCTTTGCTGGGAGCCAGTAGTTCTGGTAAACCTAGAACATTGTTCTTCACCGGAGATATAGGACTTTTAGTGGATTACGTGTACAAAGATGAAGAAATTCTCGTGGAATAAGGATCGGTTAGGCGTCAAACCCATTCACATTTATTCAACTTCAACCGCTGGGACCGTGGGTTCGAGTTCCACTCAAGGCATGGATGTTTGTCCGCGTCTTTCTGTGTTTGTGTCGGGCTGATCACTCATCCAAGGAGTCCTACCATTGTCCAAATAGATCAAGAAAAATAAATAAATAGAAACCTCGACACCGATGAGTTAAGGAGGGTGAGATAGAAAAAAGTTGTTTTTAATTTAGATGTAAATACGATTCATCTCAGGTGGAAAAACTTAAAAAAGATTTATCGGAAAATTCGTCGAAAATAAACGTTTTATGCCGAATTTATGTCACTTTTATTGTAAAAATAACCTGGACTTATATATTGTTCGCCTATATTTTTAGTCGGCCTTGTCAGCAAAACCATAATATACTGACCACGTGGTTAATTTGTGAGTCAGAAGATCTCTGTACAAGAACAAATTGATAAAGGAACAATTATTTTATCGAACATAAATTAAATGTTAAGATGTTATTTCGTGATCGTCCGGAAAATACAAGAAACAGGAATCTTTTACCCGCATTTGTCGGTAGATCTCCCCCACACATAAATCTATCCGTTCTTATCATTTATAACAGGAACAAATCCCAGTATTTTAACCCACTATCATTAGACATTGGCCAACTTGTGATATAAAAGGTTTCAAGCAAATACAATAAGGAACATAATTATTTCACATGTCTGGTGACATCACGAAGATTCGCGTGACTTAACAATATTTCCGTACGACCGACCTTCGTGTTAGATCAGTCAAATTTCTTTCTCACACACACGAGAGAGGGCACAGCTGCTTGGCTCTCATTGCTTTTATTGTACGGTTCCATTGTCTTTTAACACAATAATAAGCACCATGCATGTTGGGACTTACAATACGAACCAAAAAAATAAAAATAAAAGAATGCAAAACAAACAATACCACGAGTTACAATGGAAATACGAATTATCCCCCCTTCTTGTACCCCGCTCAGCATGTCCATAAGGGCATCGCTATTTATATAATATTCTATGTTTTAGCTAGGTCTATGTTACCCTTTACTGCCCAGTAGTAATTATATACACCACCTACTTTGATAACAAAATAAATCTCCATTTTGTGTATTTGGGTTTCGTATGTTTTTTTAGAAAAAAATATGTATTTTGGTTTATGGCACCGTATAGTCTGGTAAACGTTTACCGACGTTTCAAAGATGTGATGATGGAGGCAGCAAGGACATCTAAAACGTCTGTGAAATTTGTAACATTCTCTGTTTATAGTATTATGAAACACCCTGTGTTTATAACCAACGAACATATGAACGCGACTTTCAAATACAGCCGGATTTATACCGATGTTAAATGTATATTAAATCCTACCTAAACATAGTAAAATGTGTGGAAATAATAGCACGGATTCAGTTTTCCGAGATATAAACCATTCTTCTGTTTACAGTGCAATGTTTGAGTAGTTTTGAACAGAATTACGCAACTGGAGAAAACAGCTAAATTCTGCGTAAAGTTAAGTCAAATCTGCTATTTGGAAATGTTTTATATTTGACTGTTACTCTATAAATTACTTATGACATTTATTGAGAGCGTATAAAGAATATAGAGAAATGCATACGTCTAGTGGAAAGCCTATTTCACAATGAACCGACGTTTATAGTAACAGACAGCACGATTCTGAAAGTCACTTATCATTCTGAACTAACAATGACCTTTGTAGTGACAATTAAACACTTTCCACACTAAATCACTATTGACGTTCATAAACGTTTCACAAAAGTGTGGCAACAGAACCTATTGTTAGCTAGTTAATCTATTAAATTCCTATAAGGTTCTTATTTATCCGTTTTAAGTTGACAATTTCCTCTAACCCCAACGTCTGAAACCTACGAAATTCAACTGTGAAGGCAAAATGTAACGTTGTATCATAGCGAATGGTTAACAGAGTGCTGCCTCCATTAAAGCATTAACCACATTTAAATTTTAAGTTATAGTTCACAGAAAAATGTCAGGAATAATCGTATGAAAATATCCGAAACTATTTCGACAGTTGTACAAGGCTTATATGAACCTCCTCCTATTTGATATATCCACTGTAGTAAGCTCTACAGTCAGAAGTATCTAGATATCCCTCAAAATGGACATGGATACAGTTCTGGTTTGTCAGCAAGTGTCCTCTTACGAAAGATGCCTTCGCTGTATCGGACAGCGACCAGCAGAAAGATTACGAGTCTCTTGAGATGGCTGTTAACATGAGATCACAGGGCATACTCGACCGTAGAGAAGTCTACTCGAAAGAGCAATAGCCTTTAAGCCCGAGAATACTACACTGGTTAGATGTTTCACAGAGGAACAGCTGGGAATGAGGTTTCCTTTAAATAGGAAATTCTCTCCTCTTCACACCAACTATAATCATTTAAAGTCTTCGAGTTGAAATAAGCCTCTAGGGAACGACGCAGGGGAACACTTGCTGCTAGCAACGCACACTTTGTGGCAATCCTGAGCCTTTAAATGGTCAACGAGAATCTGTATTCAGACTCTCGAGTCGTTGCTAGAAGTTTTAAGAGCGTCCAAACCGTAGAAAGTGACGAGAAGTGTTTCAGACATGTTGTACACTGGCTCCCAGGCTAAGAAATTATTTTAAAGCAGGTTCAATTTGAAACGTCGAATGAGCTACTGACAGTGTAGTTAAATTATACGGAAATAAACAGAGAAATACATACATTGTAGGTACATTTGTTCGGTAGTAACAGTGATTAATCTTTGATGAATCCAGATACTGTGTACGTTCGCAGTGCTTATACGGCAACTTCTCTGACACCTCAACTTGGCGTGTAGTCTAAACGACTGTTTGAAGGCGTAATATACTACTAAACAAGCACAAATGAAAGGTTAGAAAAACTTGCGAACGAAATATTTATTTTACTCAGTTTAAAACGTACCGAGTTTTACCTCCGTTACATGTACTACATATAAAGATGGCCCCATTAGCCGGAGGCATGATTTCTACCAAGGATGTGTTTCTCTATTTCCTCCTACTTTAAATAAGTAACAACTTATGTGTACTTACGTTTATGAGATTTAATACTAAATTTAACAGTTTCACTAAAACATATTTCGTCACAATAATTTTTGATATTTTAAAATTATACCTTCAAATTATAATTCCACTACGACCGAAAATAATGTGTTACAGTTTTCTGATCTCTGCACTTACCTTCAGATTTTCTGCAGCCCCCCCTCAATTTAAAAATTCAGAACGTCTTTATCCTCACAAATAGAATTTCATATAGTTTTTTCTACACAAATTTACTTTCATACTAGACTGAGTGCAGCTTATGAGAACGTTTAAACCTAACCAGAAATGAGAAATTCGAAAATTTCGTAACGAGTTTCTTCTAAAATATTATTAAAGGTTATCAAATAAATCAGGAAGAAATTGGGTGGGTCATGTAGTATTCACAGGTAAGATGAGATAAGGATACAAATCTTTAGTCTGAAACTTTGTACAATCAGACGCGTAAGAACACAGAAATAAACGTTTCAGTCACGCAAAAGGCGAGATGTACCTTGACTAACCGAGCACCCATTACATTCTCAAGAAAATTCTGCTTCACGAAGCTAAAAGTCTGGCTAGTGTTGTTCCTTTATCGGTAATATGGCTTTACAACTTTGTGCCTGTCTAGGAGGCACTACGATTTGAGGCAGGGGAGGTTTATTATATGTTATCTCGCTAAGATCACTCAACTTCCAACATTACGGGTGTCTGGGGATTCTGACTCGGTTTAACGCGGCTACAGCGTGAAACTGACATTCACCTCAATCGAGTTACGGATGCGTTAAGCTTCATCTCCATTTCCGCATACGGCGTCCGAAGTACTGCTTAAACACACGAAATTACTTTGACCTCACTCAGACAAAACTTAGTTCCTCTCACCCACAGCTGCCTTCGGGATAACTAGCTTAAATTTTCATACATACTTAGTCATGCCTAGGTTAATGGGCAGTGAGTGCTCCTAACACTTCATTTGCCTGATCATAACTACCCATCATAATAATCCCACTACTTAATGCAGTTGGCACTCCTGCTTCCTATTCGGAAGGTCAATAGTTCAAATCTCCGCCCCAAGACCGGCTACTCTCACTCGCGCACCTCGTAGTTTTCCTCAGCCCCTCCAGGAAAACGTCGGTATAGTACCTCAAAATAGGCCACGATAGCTCCCTTCCATATCCTTTCCTATTCACCGTTCGTTAATCAAGCACCATTTTCCTACGATTAATTTTAATATTATCCTTCCGTCTAAATTTTGGTCTTCCGAGTGGTCTCTTTACTTCAGACTTTGCAAACCAAAATGTTGTACGCATTTCTCACCAGATCATTTGCCGCCATTCAGTCTGAGCTACTGAAATAATTGTTAAATAAACAATACATAAACAAGTAAATACACAAGTAAATATAACGCGACCACACGTCATGACGTATTTTATAAAATTCTCTTCTATTCGTGAGGCCTCCGATGCGATTATGGGCCGCGGTCACCAGCTACCACGGCTCAGAGTTCTTGGCAATCGGTTGTAAAGTATTTCAAAACTACCTACGATCATATACATGGACACTCTTCAGAATTTACATTTACAAATTCCCAATCACCATTACAATTAGCAAATTTATAAAGTATTTATTATTGAGAAACTAAGTCACGTTTTATCTGAAGAAGATTTATCGACTTCCTAAGATATACGTCATCGAAATTATGCCGATTTAAAAATTATAAATTTGGATTGACGTAGAAGGAAATATTTTTGCCTTCTTCAGGTAGTCTACTATTCTAACGTGTCTCGCATGAGAAAACCCACGACAAAAGTTAAAAGACACAACACAAACGCTAACTACTCAATTGTCACGTTCTGTAATACAAAGAACAGTTGTTAATTTAACTAAGAATAAATATACAACGCTACTACAGTTGTGTAAAGCGTCTTTAAATAAACAAATAACACAAACAAGGAAAGTTTACGTCGTCACAACACAATTTATATTCCTTCGTTTACAATGAGAGTACAGCGCATCGTAGGCCTCGCCTCGAACTGAATACAGCGGTTTAAATGTTGTTTAAGCATGTATAATGGTTACTTACCATTCAGAACGTGGACTTTCACGACGGCACCTTCCGCGTTGGATGGTCTGCAAGAATACCTCCCTGAATCAGACGCCACAGCGTCTTGTATGAGCAGGTAGCTCGTGGTAACTTCGCCTTTCTCCGTAATAACAGTTACGCCGCCACGACTTGAGTCATAGTTGATGACCTTACAAAAGACAAAACGGTATATTAATGTTATCATGTTGGTGGCCATGGACCAAGAAACAATACGTCATTGTTTCTACCCACTGCTCACTGAAAATTGGTGTGTCAGTAGACTATTGTCAATTATAATCTTTTCTAAAAGTCAGACGTAAACTGTAATAGCAGTAACTCTTCTTAGTAGTGGTTCATAGGTCACTCTGAAGTTTCTCAGACTAGGCGTATGTAGGATGATAAGAGTACCTTGAAGGAGGTCATAACAATAATAGGTTTCAACCTAATAGCTCGAAGACGACTTTATGTCTTCTCCTCGTCACACTACTCTCACTGGCCAGCAACCATCGTCTGGTACTTAATTCTTCTCCTAATCCCAGACCTGAAGATGGAAGCAACATTTTCAACCGAAACATTGGCATAAAGCCAAATTCTAAATAGCTAAACAACCCAGAAAAGGGTAATGTATTTTTCATATTCGATACTGTAAAATCTCTGCAGTTGGAATAATGTCGTTAAAAAACAAACTTAACTAACGAACTGAGTTTCCTTATCGTGCCAATAAGACCCACCAGTGTGTGTATTGGCCGTAATTGTTGTCTTTCGCCTTCAGACAGTCTGTTAGACTACACGCTTGGTTCACGTGTCGAAGAAGTTGCCGCATGAGCACGGCGAACCCGTAGAGTCTTTCGATAAGGACCAATCACTATTTCTCGTCAACAATTTCACCTGACTGGTCCTTTCGAATACAAAGCTTGAGTGCCAACCATTATGCCACACCTTCCTTCAGATGTATTTTCGAGGTGTGTGTCAGTCTGTCTGTCGACCTATATACTGATTCAACTACGGATACCAATATTACATATTATCAACTGACTTTCAATTGAACTAATCAAGAAATTCCCCAACTCCTAATGTATTCAAAGATTAATTATGCACTCAAAATAACTTGCCACTGGTAATTACCCTAAAATAATACCAAGATAAATGTCATCACTAAATTATTATAGAGGTCAGTGGGATAGAACTGTGCAAAATATAAGAGAAAACATTTCGTAAGCAGTCCAAAATGGAGAATCTCTTTACGTATTTACAGAAATTATGCCTGATTCTACGTTTTAAACGTATGGCTATAAAAGAAAACAGACCTATCTCCATAAAATATTTACAAATAATTATCTCAGCACACTAGCCTCCACTGCACACTGATATAACGTATGTCCTACTTATGCAATGGCTGACGTAACCACGTAAAATTAGTGGATCGAATTTCGAGGAAAACTCTGAGCAGGGCTTCGGGATTTTTGTATTCGTAATTCCACATAAATCCTGGCAAGTTTTATAAAATTCATATTCTGCGAAGCATTTACGTACATAGCGGAGATTAGTTTGTATAAGACAAATTACATTCAAAAATGTAATGCAGAAGACTTATGAGTGTCATACATGATATAAATGAGCTTTTCCTACACACATGTACTTATTTAAATTTCAAGTGACAAAGCAAAATACAAGGAATTAGTATCACTGAACAATGCACATGCTCAAATTAAACTTACTTAAAAATACTTAAATAAATCAATTTAATACAGTTTACAAGAATAACACATTTGTGTAGCAGGATCTACACTTCTCTATGCTCAAATTAAACTTACTTAAAAATACTAAAATAAATCAATTTAATACAGTTTGCAAGAATAACACATTTGTGTAGCACACGAATCATTGATCAGAGTTTATAGCAGACTTCTTTGTACTACTACACGTAACTGCTGACTGACGATTTATTCTAAGGTACTAGTTCTGACACTTTTAACCAATAATGAAACTGACTGTACTCAAAACGTTTATACGCAAATACGTTTTTACACTTTAATAATACACTCCGCTACAAATCACATGTACAATTATAATTGGTTTAGAGAACGACATTATGAAGGCAAACGTCTGTATAGATGTAGTTTCTGCAGTCCATATTCTCATTATGAAGACACATACTGAGGTTCCTTCACCGATGTAAGCAACTGTACGCTCTCGCTAAATGTATAGGTTAAAGGCTAAAGAACATGTTTCAAAGTATGATGAAGTGGTGGGGATAATATGGTATTAAGAGCCAAAAGCAAATCTGAATGTGTAATCACTGTGTGTAATTAAATTGGTGAAGGCAATTTTGCAGGATTATGTATACAGTGAAAACTGGTAGTTAAAGAACCTCTTTTGGCTTCTGGTTCAAGGGCTTTTTGGTAAAATCTGAATCCGCCCAGCTTCTGGCTGCTAGAAACTTAAACTACACTGGCAAGAAATATTCTCGTAAAGAAACTCGAGCCCTCAAATAAAGTCTCTGATAATATTTGAACAGTAACATTTAAATTCTTGTGCTGGTAGGTCTAAAACCGTAGTGAAACTCAGCGAACACATATTTAAAAGTAAGCTGTTGATCTGAGTTGCAATTTTCCTTTCTTTGTTACTTTGTTCCTGCTATTTTTCTTGAAATATTTTTAAGTTTTCTCATTACAAAGCTGAGCGAGACGATGCTTCTAGTTTAAAGAGCTTTGGCAAAAAATAATACGAAGGCAAAATTACATTAAGAATATCTACCAGAATTTGCACGAACATAATGCACTGGACCATGAAAACTTCGAACTCAAGACAGCCTACGTTTTGTAATAAATTCGAACGTAATATATATTATAGGCCTATATATATATTTATAAAAATGCACAAATCACTTATTCAAAAAGGATTTGTGGAAACTGTTTTAATCAGAAAGTAAATCGAAAAATATTCAGACGATAATCAAAGCAGCCCTGCAAAGACATAAACGAAATTCGTAAGCTTTGAGATACTTACTAGACGAGTTTAAAGGTAACTTCCCCTGCGATGATGCACCATGTTATCATAAGGATAAAAGAGATAATGTTTTCCTTGAAGACGGTTTCTTGATACGAGAATGTGTCTGTTTATTATACATTTAGTTCGGTTCTTTTCCCTTCTTTCTTAATGTAGGCTACATATTTATAAGTGCTTGTCTATTACGGGTTCTTTACTGTTGGTACATTCATTAAGGAATTAAATTATTACAAATCATAGTACTAAACATAATGGGTGTGTAAGTATGCATACACGCACGAACACAGTGATTAAGGTAGGAGAATTATCGTAAAATACGTAAGATTTTTTTACCTGAAATCTTTTCTGGATTTTTAGAAATAGACACATAAGCGTGTTTCCTGCATTGTATAAACATTAATAACGCAAGCCAATCTATGTTGAACGATGTTAAAAAAACAGTGTACGGTATGTTAAAATAATTACAGGCAAAACCGCAAATATGTGTTATTTTCAGTCAGGTGAGTTTACATTCGCACATAAAAATCTGATGTTTCAATCTGTGGAATTTTATTGGCGGATGTTTCGAATTTATGGAATACTACTGTGTTTGACACCCACAAAATTAATTACAAAAATTCTGTGGATGTGTAAGCCAGCTCTCAAAAAATTCTCTTCCTTATTAAGCAAATCACAAGGGAAAATAAAATAAGGGCATAATTGTGTACCGTGTTTTTATTCTATTATTAAATTACGCGCTCATTTCCCCTTATTGAAATCAGTATTTGTGATACAGAATGCCCATTGGTCCCACTGGATTTCTACCCTGCCTTCTGGGATTTAGCGCAGTGTAGACTGGTAGAAGTTTACCGACGTTTCAGGGGTTATTTCTGCCTCCATTCGAGTGAAGTACGTAAAAAATGAACAAACAGCTCTTCGTATATTTAATTAAGTTATTAAAAATATAAAACTGTATATAAGATACTGAACTTGTGGATTACTGCCATCATGAAGGCGATAAGATGGCCCGCACGGGGAGATGTTAGTGTGCACGTACGAGCAGTTTCGACAATTCAGAGACCTGGACGATCCATTTTGCTCCAGAATTTCCCCGCTCGTTTGTTTATCGCCTCTTCTGTGTGGAACTAGCTGGTAATTTAGGCCACGTTACATCACATGTTATGTTAGCTATTTCCACCGAAAGTCGCGACCGAGTAATATTTTTTCGTATCTGGGAGGTCTAGGGTTAAAATCCTGACCCTGAGACAGTGTACACTGACTGACGTATTCGTAGACTTCCTCAATCATTGCACACAAATAATCATGACCGCATTATTATCAACAATCCTTAACATTATTATTCATTAATCATATTATCATTCGACGATATATAGTCTGAGCCACTGAAAATGTTAAAAAAGCCACTGATAAGTAAATATTTATGTACATTATTACAACTAACACAGCTACTGTAGTAACGAAATTTCTGACAATTGTTACGAATTAATCTGTTACCATCACGAAGGGACTATGTTGAGAATTATGATCCTCCAATCAAAGAAAACACATAAAAAATTTGTAGTAATTTTACTTCTCGCATTCAGCAGGCCAATGGGGGTGCCAAAATGAAAGATTAGACAGTAAGTGGGATAGGCACTGTCATCTCGTACTGTCACGACTTGGAAGCGAATATTTATCGCTTTTGAAGTTCGCATCGTAGCATGATGTCCTGCTGAGAGCGCACCAAGATTTACTGGCACGAAATGTATGACGCAGTACAGGGGTAGCAGAAGTTTTTTTTAATGTAACGCACCCAAAAGAATATAATTTCAGTATAATTTTTTAATTACCTCCAACAACTTCGTAGTTGTAACACGTAATAATAGACGAAATTCTGCAAAGAATATCACCTAATTAACAAACGTCATGGAACACAGCTAGAATAGTCATTCAGACAAACAAAAGATTAAAGCCTTTCATGGTAAAAGAAGATTCTTTATCATATTTACAATACCCTATGTATTAAAGCCTTTCATGGTAAAAGAAGATCCTTTATCATATTTACAAAACCCTATGATCTAATGTTTAGATAAATAAAGCCAATTCTCAGTGACACCCTATTTCTTTACGATATATTTTAATATTTTATTCTCATTTATTCGTAGGAATATAAACCTTTCAATCTGGCTTTTTAATTGAAATTCTGTATAAATGTATAACGCATACCATGCGTAATTCATGACCATATCATTTAATTATCTTTGATTTTATCACCCAAAAAATATTAACAGAATGGTACAAATTCTGAACTTACACATTTCATAATTTTTCCAGCCCCCCCCCTATTGGTCTCACCCCCATAGATTTTTAAAATAACGCGATACAGAAAACAAAATCTGACGCTTCTAGAATAGAAGTTTCCAAATGCATTATTTACTTTCTTAAATACAAGGTTTATTTCGTAAGAAGGCCCATTTTGGTCACCTATGACATTAGTATGTCCGAAGAAAATTTATTCGCATTACGACTTATCTTCATGTGATTCTAATGTCCGCCCTCCAGTCCAAATTTGTCCGAGGGCAGACATGAACACGCATATTTCTTCTGTTAAACATGACAAGTCGCTCAGTACTGCATTAGTACGCTTAACACCCACGTGCACCCGACGTATAATGGTTCCACGAACGTCTGTGTGCTAAGGAACAGTATTTATAGTCACAGTCGACCAATCAGAAAGCCGTCAGCCTTTCAGGATGCATTAAGCATATCACGGGGCACAGAAATAGAACGCGCGTATATCACACAGGGTTTCTATCGATTATCTTAGGGTTTGTGATGATGTCTGATTCATCGAAGCGAATACTATATTGTCCGTTGCCTGAGGAATGTTTCGTGTAGTTATGCGCAGTATTCAGCCTATAAAGTGACTGAATATAACGTAGAAATGCAACCAGAAAAACAGGTATAACAACATCGGAAGTAAAATGTATAGTACGTTTAAAATAATGATAAATAATTACGTTAATGATCAAATAGAACGCCTTAATCACTTTGAATGTTAGCTGCTGTAAAAAAAAGACAAGGTTTTAAATAATAAATTGAAAAAAATCATGAATATTAATATAAAAAAGTGAGAAACACATAAACAATTTTATAAATTTACAATCAAACTGGCAGTAGTGACGTTAAAAATATAAATAAATACAAAGAGTCATAAATATCCCATAAGACCTAAAATCACATAACAGCAAATATTCACCAAGAAACCAAGTAAACAACCAAAATTTTTATCGTAATAAAAACATCAAATATCAAATTTTGTCACGAAAATTTTTACTTTAAAGACCATTTTTGAGACCCAGATTTAAACTACAGAATATCATCATCATAAATACAACAGAGTATGAAAATACTTGAGAAGGACTGAACTGGCTCAGAAAGGATTTTTTGAGTAAGCAAAACACTATCGTATTAAAAAGAAGTACGTAATTTATTGATTAGCTGAGGAAGTCTGAAATTTTAAAGATACGTGCCATATCGCGGAATACAGTGTTCTGTAACATCATACCACCTTTACATTACGAAATGTTTAGTTTTTTACAGTAGCACAGTATCAAAACGTATACATGACTTGAAATTTTCGAAATATCTACAGAATTATCCCGAAGGAAAATCTGTAATGCAAATACGTCGCTAGTACACACTCATTCGGAACAGGACTGCCGTCAAAATTGTTCTTTTTACGTTTATATGTTATAAAATATGCTCCGTAAGCAGTCTGGCTATGGTACGGGCCGAGTATGAAAGAGAGGAAAAAGAATATCAGGATCGCGTGTGTTTATTCTGTCCCTAAGGGATCTGGTGGCCATTTCAAAAATAAATGTTCCTCTTGGGAACGGTGGCGGGATTCTTTGACAATCGGTGGAAAAGCGGACGAAAACAGGATGGGTTGCCCCTAAATTTTATGCAACAAGAAATACAAATATCAAAACTGGGGCAGAACGAAACGTATCACAAATTATCACACTAAAATAAATTTAAAAGAAGGCACTGGACATCATTATGACCACAGAGGAACCTTAAATTATAAATAACTTTTCCTCTGTTCGCTGTCAAGATTCAACTTTTCCAGGACCAAATCACACACTAGATCTGTATCGATGTATTTCCATGTCGATTAGGAGTTTAAAAAAAAGATGGGAGAACCTGTTGTGGCAAAACAATGAATATTACACTTAATAACCCCTGGTTTCGAGATATATTTGGAAGAGGTAAGTTAAAGGTGGAATAATTTACAGCAAATTTAGTAAAAATAAACGCCCAGTAATATACATTATAACATAAGAAGCAATACATAAACTACGCCTTTCGTAAGCAAGAATGTTGTTGTTTAGCAAGGGACGATGTCTTGCGCGTGCGCAGAACTCGCCCTTAGTTAGCTGTTGGATTGGTTGCGATACTCAAGGCTAAGCTAATAACAAACTGTGTAAGGCCACAGAGAACTACATCACGTGTTATGCGTACATCTTCATGATGATACCAGAAGATGTAGGCTGGCGGTTCTGTGCTGTCCTTGATTGTGCACGTGAGGTTAATGGTACTGCCCCTGTCCACGTGCAAGTCAGGGCCGCCCAAAATCGTAGCAGTTGGCACTGTAACAACAGATTAAACAAAGTCAGGCAGAAGAATTGCCTGTGTAATACGACCGACAGATAGATGCAATATTACGAAGGAAGAGGCGAAGAGAGAGATCAAAAGAAACAGAATAACAATTAGAAACGAAAGAAAATATAGGAACAAGGCGATAAAGAGAAAGAGAATCGAGACTCGAAACTAAAATAAACAAACAAATCAGAAAACATGGAAGGAATAAGGCAAAGAACTAATTTGCAAGGTTTTTCATAAAATTTTGGCCAACGATATTTCTTGTAAGACGTATTAAGCAGTTACGACAAAATAATACAAAATAAAGCAATGAAGAAACAAATTATAGATTTAAAAAAAAATTCTGAAATAATTATTTTGGGTAAGATTACATCGTTCACTGATAAATTATTAAAATGTTCGGGTCGTTTATCACAAAATATATTTTTACTGTAATATAAATATACCGATTGAGAAATGAAGTAGGAGCCAGATAATGACCATACAGTAAAGAAACATGTTGCCAACGTATTGTTACTAACTCAGAGGCCTAAAGTAACATGTGTATTATTTATTTGTTTATAAACAGTGACTATATTATTTAAAATACACTAATCGGGTTTAGGAAAATAAGTACTGCAAAAATCATAATATTATTAACAATTTCAATATTCTAAAAGGTTTAACGAACCAAATTATTCTATTTAAACACGTCCCTTCGTTTAAGATCTTGTCTAAATCAGCAGTCAGATTACCATATATCAATGAACCATAAAAGGTTTAGTGGTTAAAGGTTAAGATTTAAAAATGAACACATATTTTGTTATAGGAAAGAACATAAGTTCGAGATAAGAAAATAAAGAAACAACAATTTTCAATCCGTCATGTAAGCAAAGCAGGTTTTCAGTTTAAAGCACAACTATGCAACTCTTGAGGACATCGTGGAATATTCAAAAGGAGGTTGGCTTTCAGTTTGTTGAATCTAGTATGATTCATAACTTGAATATAAGCGAAAAGAGGCAGGTTTGTAGCGCGTGTGGTGGAGTGCTAAGGCGGGGAGAATAAAATCATGATGCAGTCATGAAATTCGGTCGGAGTTTTCATACAAAGCACACTTTCATTCCACTGAAGGCAATTTGAAATTCATTGGTGAAGCAAAACTTTAGTCGACATATTCACGCGAAAAAAGTCTCATGCCACGACTAGATCTTCACAAAGTCGCAAGTTCCTTCATGTAATTCAAAACGCATTTAAAAGTAAAGCAATGTATTCTACCTGTTTACCCTCTCCTAAGACACAGATTTCAGCCTCAAACACGACACAGTGAATCAGGAACATTAAAACACTTTATCTTGTAGTCTTCCACTTTACCTTCAATTATCAATGGTGTTCTTTAATGCCCAAGAAATTAGTTATCATATGTGACGTCACTAGGAAGTACATAACGAAAATCAAGGTATTTCTGTTTTAATAGAAATTACTGTAAAATGCATACTTAATTACAAAAATATACAAAAAGTTTTAATAACATTCCCCGTTAATGCATTTACATATTAGTAGAGGCTTAATATTTTGTTAAGTGTATCTCGTTTTTTAACAATCTCAACCTTTATGACATTGTTCTGAGTTTTGGCGCCGTGTAGACTCGCCAGTACACGGAAACGTTTCGGAGAAAATTACTAAATCCCTTAAAATCATAAATCATCATCCTCACCTCAAAACTGCAAATCTAACAATTACAAACTTATTTAAGACTCCTTATTGATAATAATATATAAAAATTACCGAGACTTTAGGAAAGTTTGCAACGTAAATATAACCCCATCAGAAGGACAGTCATTACGCGTTAATATCAGAGATGTTACGCTGAGTTTCTGTAGAACTTCATAATTTTCATTTATATTTATTTACATGGCCGATAGTTTCGCCTGGTACAGATATATTTCTAATTCACTTCCCTTATTTATAATTGAAGGGCTTACTACTGCATTATCGTGTTCGTCTGTGTGTCTAAACGAATAGATAAACTATAGTAAACATTGGTATGAACGTCATTCATTGAACTACTATGAAATACTAATTTTGTTACTATGAAAACTTCTGAGGTGACGTGAGACGTCAGTGACACTTAATATGGGATCTTGAAAGTTTCGTAGAAATAGATATTTAAAAAATATTATTTTTTGTGTAACATATTAAGATACAAATAGATCTAAATCAATTCAATAACTCGAATCCTACCTCAAGTAACATACAAAGAGTCTGTACTAAACAGATAAATTGGTTATAATGTTACGGAAATAACTGGTGTTCATTAAGAAAATCATACGAAACCCACAAATACAATGTCTGGAAAAAATTCAGAATCACCAAATGTTAAAACCGGGCGTACATTTGCGCACTGAAGCATTAACTCCTTTAAAATCGAAGCTCGTCTGCATGATATTTAAAAATTCATTCCCTACCTCAAAGTAAACACAGCATTTGCCTATTAAAAATTAATAGGTTAATGCTGTTTGGGGAAATAATCGGTGTTTATTCTGAGATCATAAGCAACTACATACACACTGTATGGGCATAATGAAGAGTTATACATTGTTAAAGCAGCAGATACATAGAGAAACCACCAGGCTCTATATGATTAATAGAGAGACGTGACTCATGGTTATAAAGCCGAAGACATTTGCAACATTTCCACCAGTCACAGGCCGCAAATTTACCAAGCTGAGACGAAATAACACATCTGTATGGGATTTTCACAAAGCGGTTATTATATTACTGGTAATATAACACGCCATGTTAGTAGTTCGTTAGTTTTAGAAGTAAAACAAGCCAAAATAAAGAAATATAAACCTTTTCTTTCAATTTGTCTAATGGTACCACTGTGGGACTGTTGAGATTGGTACCAGTCATCATTAAACATCCATCGAGGCTTTTTTGTAGGAATTTCTAGAAGAAAAACATTAGTACAGTATTAAACAGAAACATACCTATTATCGAAACGTTACGAGACTATAAGGATTATAATGTTTATGATACTATTACCATAAAGCGAACTTGAACTACTATTGCTTTAACTGTCACATCGTAAATAAATGATCAATGGTTTCTTTAATTAAAAAATGTTACAAATTCAAAAGCTGAAGAGCATATAATGAGATGAAAAGACGATAATGACAAGGAGTTAATGATTTTTATAAGCAAGCCGTGGCCTATTTTAAGATGGGTCAACTATTCCGGCATCACGCTGTAGATATTAATGGAAACTATAAAATACGTCTACAGTATCCGATAACATAGACGACATTGAAACCAGTTAATTTATCGAATATAATTCCTTTCAAAAATAGTGCGGGGAAGTTATTTCTAAATCGATTGAATTGCGCCGAACTGATAAAAGACGGGGTATATTTTACCACACAAAAGATGTGAACTATACAGTTTCAGAAGTATACTACTTTACAAAAAAGATGAATATAACTGTCTTCTGGGATGTTTCGCATTGTGATCTGACATACGTTTAAGGACGTTTCATAGGTTCTTACTGCCTCCATCATCAGGGAGATGAAAATTATGCCTGATGTCATAGGCCAGTGCGGAAGTGACTATAAAGCGCCACTTGTATATCGTGTCAGTTATATTAATTTATTTAATACGACAATCTAAAAAGCCCTGAGACACAATACGACATTTAGAAGCAAGAAAGAGCTTTGTTAGTTACTGAATAATAATTAAAGCTGTAGTGTTAACATTGAAATTAGTTATCAAGAAGAAAAATTATACACCTCCTTTAATTTGATGAGCAATATCATCATATGACTGATGAGATTGGTAGAGTTCCTCATTTAATCTCCACTGTGGCTTTGACGTAGACGGCTCTAGAAAAAGAAACACAATGAAACAAAATAAAATATTAAATATAAAGAAACAGAACTGAACATGTGCCACTCTTCCTTTTTACTCACTAAAAATGAATCTGGTTTCTATTAAGCTGGCAGACTTCCCAGAGTTTGAACACACTTAAGTGCTGTTTCTAACAATTAGGTTCAGATTTCAGTGTTTTTTGTAGTTTTGATTCTTCCTATTTCATCAGGAAAAATATTAAACTCAGGTACTGGAACACTTGAAACTATTGTGCCTCCTTTCTGCTCTCGTACTTCGTGTATTTTTCCGTATCTGTTTTTACTCCGAACTCAATTCTCATGCACCAACTTCTGACTGCAAAAAACAGTAACGTTAAAAACTACATGATACGTCGCGTACTTTTATTCGCAATTATAATTTCAGAAGCATCAAATATCAAAGTGACTATTAATTCATCGCGTTTCAGTACAAACAGAGCACACTTACAATATAAAGGGGCATGGCGAGGTTAATTTCTTTTTCTGAAGAGATTATTTCCAATAACAGCGTTAAAATCTACAGTAACTTGGATTTGAGATTCTATCAATGGCTTGTCTGAAAGATTCGAACCCAATAAAGAGGGATTACAAGATAGTAAAAAAACTGAAACAAATCATTAGTTCTGAATTGGTCGTACGCAACAAAATTGTTTTATTTCATAACGTGCGTGCCCTGCGATTTGAGATACAAAGTTTCGTAACCCTTAAAAATTAAAATTTTTTTTATAGGGGTTGTCTCTTAGCTTGGGGGTGTGGCTTAAATCTTCCCCCGTATAAAATTTGCATAATCCAAAATACTATACAGGGACCACTTGGATGAATGAAAAATAAAATAAAATTAGTTTTTCACAGAAGTACGTTTACAGGATGTGGAATGTAGTTTTATGTCTCAGAACAGGGACCGGTGGCGGGCTCTTGTGACAACGATAATAAACCTCAGGGTCCTGTGAAAGATGGGGTATTTACTGAATAGTTCAGAGAAATATTAGTTTCTGTTCCATCGAGTTAGTTAACACAGTTAGAACCAACATCCTTTATATTACATAGTTCAGGGTGGAACAAATGTGGGATTATCTATAAACTAAATCTGCAAAGTGAATATAAAGGTACTTTATTTTATTTATGTAGAAATTATTTTGTAAATTGAATGACCATTGTATGTACAAAGTGAAAAAAATAAATAAAAGTGCGTTGTGTGAAAGTTACGTTCCTCTTTTTCAGTCTAAATTCTTTGATCCACCAGCAGCGATCCCCTGTTTGAAGGTCACACCGTAAACCTGTTTCTGAAATTCTCAAATGTGTACCAACATTACGGCTGAATGAACCCTTTACCTGAGAGAGAAGTGAATTTCCATTATCTGACAATGTCTGAAGGTTCATGAAAAGGCTTGTACTCGGGCACTGTTGCTTACTTATATTTTTTGGGCTCGTTCACAACAAAGTTAAAAAAATCTCCTATTAAGCTCACCATGTCTGTCCGATTGTAACGTAGAGATAACAGCTCAACGAATGTTCATAACATTTTAAGTTGGCGAGTCAAACTAAAAATATTTAGGTTAAAATATGGCAAATAAAAAAGACATTTTATATGAAAACGGATACACATTTATGCGCTCACAAACCTCATACATCTTTTCTATCCCAACTGTAATATTAGAAATACATAAAAATATCGAATCGGTCGCCCTAATGGAGACATTAAGCACCTCTGAAACGTCCGTAAAGTTTTACAAGACTAAACGGCGTAATGTCATATTAAAATGTAAATCATTTTACTAAAAACAGTTTTATCCCCCCATTTTCTCCTAGATTTTTCAAGTGACCACTTTCTAAGATAGTTGCGTCCTTGTACTTGCCCTGATTTAACCACCATAACAACAAGTTCATTTGTTTCATCTATAAATGTTACTTACCTCCTGCAAGATTCTGTTTTACCTCTCCAAGATAAAATTCCCCTATTTATTGTTGCATTGGTTACTTAACAACGCTTTGCCAACTACGCAGTTTTATATAACCCAATAAAATGGAAATATGAGGTTAAAATTTTAAAAAAGGCGGCCGTAAACATTTTCAAAGATTACGAGTATTGAAATGAAGAGACTGAGAAAAACCAGGAAATAATTCAAACTGTGGTAATCTCAGCTGAATGAAACCTTTTAGTAAACATACAATTTAGTATCGTTAAGGGAGGTTACTTGATTATTAATTTAGTAATTTTTAAAATGTTATTTCTAGTGTGAAATAGATTCCAATGTTAAACTACTTTAATTATAAAGTAACAATTTTAATTACCTTAGACAAATACACACAACAATTGACGTGCGTAACATATTATATTTTTATTTACATTAATTTTCAACGTGAAAGAACAATAATTAAACTGCGTATGTCAGTTTCTGTAAATAAATGAACTTAACATTTACACTCGTATGAAAATATTTTATATTGCCGCCATGACTTGAGTGCAGATGTGAGTAACCACCACATCAAAATACTTTGGGTCCAAAATGTCACGCATCTTCAAGTTTAAAAGATAATATTTTGTAGCTGTGATATGGAAATTTCAATTTTCAGAAAAAAAGCGCTTTCTAGTTTAATCTGAGTGAGAGATAAAGTGTTTGTTTATACAGTTATAAATAGGATCTCTGATTATATTTAATAATTTTACTCCGTACCGAAAAAAAAATTCACAGTGACAAAGATCAGTTTGTCAACGCTGTTTGAGGAAAAAATTTCAGTTCACCCACAGAAATGTACGAAATATAAAAAAATTCAGGCTTACAGGTTACATGAAGGTGGTACAGATATATACCACTAAACTACAAACGATTAAGTGTAGTTTATATTTAGTACAATTTTGCAGGTACCATTATTGTTTGCTTTCGATATATCGTTACGGTTCGAGTGATCGCAGTAGGAACCAGACGCTCTGTTTCAAATAATGACCCCCTTGCATTTCTAATTACATGTCACCGTTATTAATAACCTTTCATACGCAGTTGACTTGTTATTCAAGGGTATAAGACCATCGTTACCCGCTTGACATCTTCTCTCAGTACGAGCTAACGAGAGTTTTTACTCTGGATCGATTCCCTTTGTGTTCATTTTAACATGATCCTATCGACACTGTTATCATCACTTTCGAGAGAGAGAGAGAGAAAAAATGGAAGACCTGTCAATAAGCATGACTTTGCGACGCAAGTGTAAAAAGCCGAAATGAATTCAACTTTAAGTAAGTAATTTTTCATATTTTCAATAAAAATTTCGTTATTTATCAATTTACTTAAGTTTCAAGTGTCTGAAGTCAAGCAGATACCTTAAAGAACATTAATTAAACTTTTCATCCAATAGACAATATAATGGCATAAGCAGAAAAGAAAATTATAAACGTAATAAACACCACGTATGACAAACGTATTTAATGTCTCCGGGACTGGATATTCATGCAAGTAAAATTAAACATCAGTATCAAGCGATTTTAATATAAATTCTTAACACAGCCTTACAATTTGATGCTTAAATTAAATTAGGCCAATGTGAAGGATCAATGAACATGTTTACAGTTAATTATGGAACGATTTCTCAACCCTTAATATATATATATATATATATAAAATTTTCTGACATAATCAGTAAAATTAAATAAGTCCCGTCATAACTTGACATTTTAAGATAACTTACTGCACTTTCATAAAAAATTAATTTACAAGTTACCATGAACGCATAAAAAAATATTTTAATAAGATAATTGTTGAAAGGATTAAAAAAAATCAAATTAGCTTTCACCTTAAGCCACTTTCTTTAGTTAAGAATGCATAATTTGCTGGCAGTCCACATAATACAAATCTGACTTGACGTCATGCTGATAATTAATCATGGCATGTGCGTCATCGTATCCTGTATCCAGTCAGATACTATTAACCTGAAGTAGCTACTGGGTGACAAATATCTCGTCAAAACAATTTCAAACCTTGCTACGTCACTTCCTGATCGCATCTGATACGTGGCACTACGTGCAATTGTGTTGAAGCGCTTGGTCACTTTGCTACCATATTTGTTTGCTATATGCAAATTACGTAATGCCATACTACACGTTAGTAAGCAAGAACGTCATCGAGGGATGTTGATTTACGTATATAGCCATTTCTAGAACACTTCGATAATGACGCATCCGTCATGGATGATGTAATGAAAAGGCTATTCTGAAACGGTTGTGTTATCGAAAGTTGCACAGTGTAATCTGGCAGACAATGACCGACGTTTCGGAGCAGGTTACAAGCTCCATCATCAAGGTCACAAATAAGATATGGAAATATCGTGGTATAGGAATAGATTGAAAAGGACCTTGATCCTTGATCTGGGATAAATATCTTGTGCGTGAACGGGATGTATAGCTGGGTAATGACGTCACCAAGGAGGATTCACCTCCTGCAGGTAAACATTTCTTACAAAACCGTCAAGTGAAAAAATTCGTGTCAATTTTGATCATAAGCCCGACGTTTCAGAGGCCTTCCGTCTCCGCCATCAGGGAATTATGTAATCAAGTTAACTATAGCAACATGGTAAACATATTAAGACTAGCTCAAATAAGTGTTTGTGCTTTGATGTAGAGCGGTAGTTAACATTTCCGAATCCGAATGAAAACTGAAATTTGTCGATAATTTATCCAGTGTAAGATTTAATGAAAACTTTAATTAAATTTCACGTATACGGACATACAGACAACTAAGAGGGTGGAAGAAGCGATATTAATAACCGTTTCTCAGGGTTACGAAGGGATTTACAGGCGAAAAAATCTAAAAAAATTACATGAAAGTAATGTCTAATGCACGCCATTAATTGACAGCCATACTTCGTTTCATTAGGAGAAGATGAAGGTAGGGATAAAGAGAGAGGGGAGAATGTGGTGGTAATGGACTAGTTAAAAGAGAAGTGGGACGAGGAGGGAATACAGAGTGGGAATCAATTAACGAGCA